TGCCAGATAACTGGTGGATAGCCAAAGATGGATTCGATCATAAGTCACAAAAGCTCAAGTCTCAGTCTCTTCCTGATCAGGGTGGGAGAAAGACCAAAAATGATGGATGAAAGAGGAGGAGAAACAAGAGGAATGTCTACTACAAGATGATCTTTGTGGACCCTGAAATGTAGTGTCACTGCAGAGGGCAAGGAAAGGTAATTTTTTTCAGTGTAGTTTGACTGGGAGTAGAGAGCCCCAAGGGTCAGGAATTTAGTATAATGAGGTCCAGTGGTAGGAGGGAGACTCATTTTAATCCTTACCTGAGAATATGAATTTTATTGATTGATTTTTTTTTGAGGGAGAGAGAAATATCAATGTGAGAGAGAAACATTAATCAGTTGCCTCTAGTACATGCCTTGAATGGGGATGGAACCCACAACTTAGGTATATGCCCTGACTTGAGATCAAACTTTTGGTGTATGGGACGATGCTCCAACCAAGCCACTAAACCAGGGAAGGAGGACCTATTTTAAAGATCATGTTATTTTATAATTTCTGTAAGGTTTAACTAAGACATTGCGGCATTCTGTAAGTCCAGCTGCCTGGGACTGATAGGGAGGGTAGAACATGTATTGAATGCCTTATTCTAAAGTGACAGCTTTGTTTAATGTCAATAATGTCTGGAGCTTTGAAGCTCATGAGGAGTGTTTTTGTGAGGCCTAATATGGAAGCTTCAGCAGTGGCATGTCTAGTGGGGTAGACAAATAAGATGTTTGGGGAGGTATCCACTGTCAAGTGGCAGCAGTACAGGGGGACAGTGGCCTGATAAAGTTGGCTTGTTGGTGAAAACAGGAGATCTCCCTGGTATCGCATCCCTCCATTATATTGCCAGTGACAGGTGTTCCCACAGAGTGCCCTGACTTGTCACCGTGTTAGCCATGGCAGAAGAGTGGGGAAGCCCTGTGTGTTCAGCCCAAGCTTCAAGGGCACAGATTCCTCTATGGCTGGTGGGTCCATTTTGCCAAAGATAGACAAATGGAACCTGGAGGATCATCAGACAGTTTTCACCTGAGTTTTTGAAATTTGTTCTAATCTATCTGCTTGAGAATTAAATTGGGCCTTAGAAGTCCAAACTTTGGTGTGGGGAAAGGCATAGATGAGCTTGATTAGATGCTTTGGGGTATTCACCCTAAAGCATGCAGTCCTGAATGACAAATTGTTGCAACTGAATGCACTGAAGAACTAAAACTGGCAATGGCACAGGAATCTGTGACAGCGTTACTTCCTGTTTTCCTTTCATTTTACTGTTTTCCTATCATCTATGTTCTAGAGCAGGGGTGACAAACTCATTTTCACCGGGGACCACATCAGCCTCATGGTTGCCTTCAAAGGGCCGAATGTAATTTCAATTCCTTAACGGTTAAGTAGTATTTACATTTATAGGGTCCTAAAATTATTTGGCCCTTTGAAGGCAACCACGAGGCTGATGTGATCCCTGGTGAAGATGAGTTTTACATCCCTATTCTAGAGGTTATTTGCAGCTACTGGATTAATACAGGGAAAATAAAATGGCGTGTCTCTGGCTACTCTTCCCAACTCCATGTTCAATGCCATCATGTTGACAGTTTGAAACTGGCCATGGCGGGAATACTAACAAGAGGGAAAATGGAGAACACTACAAACCAGAATTTAACTAATTGTATTACAGAAAGTCTAAACAAAGAGTATGATGGTGAATAAGGGAAAAAATGCAGATTGAATTTAAAAGTGCATGGTGCCCTAGCTGGTGTGGCTCAGTGGATTGAGCTCTAGCCTGTGAACCAAAGGGCTGCAGGTTCGATTCCCAATCAGGGCACATGCCTGGGTTGTGGGCCTGGTACCCAGTAGGGGGCACACAAGAGGCAACCACACATTGATGCTTCTCTCCCTCTCTTTCTCTTTCCCTTCCCCTCTATCTAAAAATAAATAAAATCTTTAAAAAATAAAAATAAAAGTGCATGGTGTATGTGTTCATTACACTGCACATGGCACAAAAAAAAAAGAGGAGCAAAAATGAGCTGTTTGTTAATGAAAAGGGAAGTATGTACAATTCATAAAACAAACAAAATAGGCAAAAGATACAAACATTTTACCAAAGATTCACAGATGACAAACACATAAAAAATCTGCTCAACATCAAGAATCCATAGAGAAATGCTATTAAAACTACTGCTTATTAAAAGATAAATTCAAATGATTGACCAGATCAAGTACTGACAAGAATGTTGAAGAACTGTAATTCTTGCCCTGGCTGGTGTGGTTCAGTGGACTGAGTACTGGACTGTGAACAAAAGGGTCGCCAGTTCAGTTCCCAGTCAGGGCACACACCTGGGTTGCAGGCCAGGTCCCGGGCAGGGGGTGCATGAGAGGCAACCACACTTTGATGTTTCTCTCCTCTTTCTCCCTCCCTACCAAAAAATAAATGGATAAAACCTTAAAAAAAAAAAGAACTGGAATTCTCATACACTCCTAGTGGGTACACAACAGTGAACAACCATTTTAGATCACAATTTAGAAATTTCTTAATTTAAACATTTGGCTATCCTATGATTCAGACATTACACTTTGATTTTCTAACACAGGAAAAGTGAAGCATAAATGTACATATAAAGTATCATATACAAATATTCTTTTAAAAAAGATTTTATTTACTTATTCTTAAAGGTAAGGAAAAGAAGGGAGAAAGAGAAGGAGAAAAGCATCAGTGCGTGGTTGCCTCTCAAGTGGTCCCCACTGGGGACCTGGCCCACAACCCAGGCATGTGCCCTGACTGGGAATCAAACTGGTGACCCTTTGGTTCCCAGGCAGACACTCAACCCACTGAGCCACACGAGCCAGGGCCTTTTAGACAAAGATTTTATTTTATTTATTTTTAGAGAGAGGGGAAGGGAAGGAGAAAGAGAAGCAGAGAAACATCAATGTGTGGCTGCCTCTCATGTGTCCCCCTACCGGGGACCTGGCCTGCAACCCAGGTGTGTGCCCTGACTAGGAATTGAACTGGCAACCCTTTGGTTCACAGACTAGCACTCAATCCACTGAGCCACACCAGCCAGGGCCATATACAAACATTCTAGCAGCATTTTGTGCAACAGTCAAAACTGGAAGTAACCCAAATGCCCAAACAGATGAATATACAAACAAATGATCTATCCATAAATAAGATACTACTCAGTAATAAAAAGAAAGAACAACTCATATAAGCATTATTGAAAAATCTCAACATAACCAGGAATGAAACCAGAAAAAAATAATCTTTTTACAAATCAAACCATATAAAATACAAACTAATTTATTATAAATAAAGGTAAATCAATGGTTGCCTGGAGGCCTGGGGAGGGGAGGGGCACATTGTAAAATGGCATGAAGTAGAGGTGATGGACATTTCATGATTATAATAAAGTTTCATGGGTTTGTATATTATGTCAAAATTTAACAAATTATACATTTCAAATAGGTGCACTATATTGCATGTCCACTATACCCAAAAAAATCATTATAAACTGGTTCAAAAGACAAATCTAGATCTCCCACTATTTTCAGAAAATCAGGCTTGTCGATCATATATTGACTCTTTTCTGATGACTGTGGAAGAACAGCTTTGCCTCAGTGGTAGCAAATTGATGAGCATTGAAATCTGTTTCCACTTAAGTCAACAGAAATGCTGGCTAGGTCACAGAGCAACATCACTGGACAAAGGGATTTCATTTCGAATTTTGTTTTTCTGCCTGTGTAGCAATGGCTTTTCAGTTATCATCCCACAAAGACTGCAGGAATCCACAAAACCAATACCTTATTTTGTTTGAAAATGAACTCAGCTACAAAAGGCATACATGCTTGAAAGTCCTGAGAATTTCAGTGCACACTGATCCTTCATGGTCACAGTGACATTTTTGATGAAATTTTAACAGGGGTGCATTCCATCTACTTTGCTGTAGTCTCCTCCCCTCCAGTGTTACTGCACCAATTATGCTCCCCCCACCCCCAGGGCCTTGTAGTCTTATGACCCTAGCCTAGTAAATTCTGGGTATCAGGACACATGGCTCCTTTGTAGGACCTGGAGTACAGATTCCCAACATTGCTGAACATTATATGATATCTACTGTGAACAAGAGAAACAATTCATGTTGTTCCCAGAAGCACTTGAGGCTGCCACAACTTCCTGGTTCCTCAGGGTGTTTCCAGAGCCCGCCCAAAAATTCTGACACCCCATGTACAAAGGAGGACCACAAAGCCCCAAAATCTTTTCCAGGAGACTTTGGTCAACAATGTATAGAGAGGAATATTCTTCCATCATTCTGTCATCTCTGAGGCACACAGAGCTTTGAACCTGCATGACAAATGTTTTACTCCTTAATCTGGCAGAGCCAAACTGTTTCCAAACCAGCTCACACAGTAAATACAACACCAAAGTCAAAGGCGGCTTAAACAATAATGCCTTTATTCTTATAAAATCCAAGGCAATAAGTGGCAGGCAGTTTCCAGGTTGGTGACTTGGAAGCTGGGAAAGTCCAAGTAAGTGTCATATGAAATTAACATGTCCTTATAAACAGGGTCCTCTTGACAAAGTCACCAGCAAAACTCTGATCTGGTCCAGTGGGACAAAACTGAGTGAGGTCCATGACCTAACTTATAAAAGAGAGAGGAATGAGAAGAACCCTGGAAGAGTACCTAGAGGTCCACTTCCCTGAGGTGGCTAAGGTGGTGACTGATGCACACTGTGTGGACCTGCCAGGTGGTAGAGGTGAAATGAATTCTGCTGTAGAAACTGGTAGTGACATATATCTAGCAAGGGCCCTGGGCAGGTCAGAAAGTGTAAAACAGTTCCTTAAAGATTCCTATACCCCGAATTTAAGAAGGATCTTTCCACTGTGGATTTTCTGATGTATGGGTTGTAATTCAGGTAAATGGCTCCCTCACAAATTCTCTCCTCCAGTGTAATTATACTAAAAGGAAATTGCACATTCCCTATACATCTAAGGTCTTTCTCCAGCGTGAAGTCTGTGGTGTTGAATGAGGTCAGATTTGCAGCTAAAGGATTTGCTACATTCAATGCACTCATGAGGCTTTTTTCCACTGTGAACTCTTCGGTGTTGAATGAGGCTTGAACTTTGGCTAAAGGATTTGCCACATTCCCCACACTCATAAGGCCTTTCTCCAGTGTGAACTCTCAGGTGTTTAACAAGGTTAGATTTGCAGCTAAAGGATTTCCCACATTCACTGCAGTCAATAGTCCTTTCTCCAGTGTGAACTTTCCAGTGGTTCTTGAGGTTGGAGCTATGGCTAAAGGATTTTCCACATTCCAAACACTCATAAGGCCTTTCTCCTGTGTGGACTTTTCTATGTGAACTGAAGCTAGAGCTTTGCTTGAAGGATTTCCCGCATTTACTGCACTCATAAGGCCTTTCTCCAGTGTGTAGTCTCTTATGGTGAATGAGGCTGGAGCTTCGGCTAAAAGATTTCCCACACTCACCACAGTGATGAGGCCTTTCTCCAGTATGAATTCTCTGGTGGTAAATAAGGCTAAAGTTTTGGGTAAAGGACTTCCCACATTCACTACACCGATAAGGCCTTTCTCCAGTGTGAACTCTTTGATGTTGAATGAGATTGGACCTTTGGCTAAAAGATTTTCCACATTCCCTGCACTTATAGGGCTTTTCTCCAGTGTGAACTTTCCTATGACTATTGAGTCTGTAGCTTTGGCTAAAGGATTTCCCACATTCATTGCACTCATAAGGCCTTTCTCCAGTGTGAACTCTCTGATGTATAATGAAGCTGGAATAGTAGGTAAAGAATTTCCCACATTCACTGCATTCAAAAGGCCTTTCTCCATTGTGAACTTTCTGGTGCTGAATTAGGTTACATCTTCGGGTACAGGCTTTTCCACATTTACTGCATTCATAAAGCCCTTCTTGAGCGAGGACTCTCTGGTTCTGAGCAAGTGTGTCTGTGCACCTAAAGGTCTTCTCACATTCTCCCCAGCTGTGAAGACTTTTTCCACTGTGAAAGGCAGCCTCACACTCATTACTGTTGTTTGGCTTCTTCCCAGTGTGAGTGATCTGTTGATGAAAGAATTGCAGCCTGGCTAAAAAGTCCTTCCCAATCTCCCCACAAATAAAGGGCTTCTCTGACGCATAGACTCTGCAGCTCTTTGTAAACAAAGCTCTGTCCACAGAATTTCTAATGTGTTGCTCCCTGTACTGTTGAAGGTTGGCCATGAAGAACAGTTTCTCACATGTGTATGTTTTCTGCCCAAGATGTGTTCCCTGATGCTCAGCCAAGTGTAAAATATCTTTCAGGATCGGCCCACACATCTCAAAGAGCTGGATCTTCTGGAGATCTGAACCTGCTATAAAAGTCCTGCTCTGTGATGCTCCTTCTAAATAAATGCTCTGTTCAGAAGGTACATCATCACCTTCCACTCCACTCCAACAGCCTGAAAGCACAGAAGTGACGGTGAAGTACATGTTAACTTTATTGGGAGGGGGCAAAACCATCACAAATGTACACATTAAGAACCAGTCCATGAGGCTGTTTTCAGGAAAAGGGAGTTGGGGTCAGATTGACAAAGCAGTTGCTGTGTACTACTGGGTCACTAAGGTCACAAAATTGGGCAGGCCTTATCAGGCACAGAACATAAGAAAAGGGTGTGGTCCCAGGATGAAAGGCATGTTCTATAAGTCATTCTTCTGTCCATGGCTTTGAGCAGGATTCTATCTGCTGCTGACATGTAATGCTGTGAAGAAGTCTACATCCAGGCCCAGGAAAATTTGAATAGAACAAAGTAACTGGTGTCAAGGGTTATTAAAAAGTATGTGTACACTTTAGGACAAAACAACGCTGGAAAGCACTGTGGAAGGAATAATGTGAGGATTGAGTGAGATAAGCAGTCCAGAGAGTGGGGATTAGCCTCAGGGATGGACTGAGAATAAAAATGATAAGTCAGCAGAGAGTCAAGATTGGACAAGGGAAGGTAGATGTAAGGTAACCACCTGTAATGAAATGGCACCAAAACATAAGTCAAACAGGACAGGTTCCTAGTATGATGTGACCAAAGCCCTAATGTCACATCCTCCGATTGCTATTCACCTCAGTTAGGCCCCTCCCTGAGCTCCTCTTGTTGAGACTGGAGTCATGTCCACACTGTGAAGCACAGAGACTCCCCCCTTCGCCCCAGATGAGCAACTGCATAGGACCTGGTGATTTGATCCCTAACGGAAAGACAGGACAGGTCAATAGCCAAAGTGGCCCAGAACAACTCAGCACACAACATATCACAGGAAAGATATTCAAATACTACAAAAAATACCTCTGGGCACAGAAAGAGGGAAGATGGCAGAGTAGTAAGCATCAGGAATCTGTCTCCCTACCTAGACAACAACTGAACTGATAGAATCAATATGACCATAAATATTTTGCAACTCTAGAGCCCACAGAAGGCGTGCAACATGCTAAATTGATTTAATTCTGATCAATTTCACCTGTTAGGTGGCATCAGCCATCCATCCCCTAACTCACACAATTCCCCACCCTGAGCCCAGAAGCCGGCAGTCGTGAACATGTAACTGGAGCAGCTTGCACAAACCAGGATCCCTGGCCTCTGGGATCTGTGCTCTCATTTCTGCATTTTTAAAAAATATTTTATTTATAATTTTTTTTAGAGAGAGAAAGGAAAGGAGAAAGAGAGGGAGAGAAATAGCAATATGTGGTTGCCTCTTGAGCACTCTCTATTGGGCAACTGGCCTGCAACCCAGCCACATGTCCTGACTGGGAACAGAACCAGTGACCAACACTTCGGTTTGTAGCCTGGTGCTCAATCCACTGAGCAATACCAGCCAGGGTTCAATTTTGCTTTGGATGGTGGAGGTGCAACAGAAAGGTGGGTAGCCATTGTTGCAAACCACACCACCATTGTTGCAAAGCCCTTACCTACCTCACTGGCTGAACTGACTTTGCAGGGAATTTAAAAGGTAGGCATCTATTCCCTCCATCTCCTTTTCTTTAATTTTTTTCTTATTCTTCTGTTGGGAGACAGAATTTAAAGGACCAGGACATTCAAACTCAATCATATAGGGAAATTTAGAAAATTATCATGCATGCCCAGGGAATAGCACAGGTTCAGAAAAAAAAACCAAGACAATGTTAAGTTTATAAGTTTATACCTCAGACTGATCTCTAGCACAGACGCAACCTACAACCATTAAACAATAAACAAACAAAACCACCTCCTCCCAGCAAATTCTAGGGGATAGAGACAGATTTCTTGAGTTGCCACATGGTAAGATACAAATATCCAGTTCTCAGAAAAAAATCAAAGAGCATACAAAGCAACAGGAAAGTATGGCTCAATCTAAGGGGAAAAAAATCAAGTGAAAATGACCTTGAGACCCAGATATTGTACTTCTTAGACAAAGACTTTAAAACAACTGTCTAAAAGATGCTAAAAGAACTAAAAGAAAATGTGGACAAAGTCAAGAAAGTGTTGCATGAGCAAAATGGAAATATCAGTAAAGAGATAGGAAACATAAAAAAGAATCAAGAAAAAATTTTGGAACTGAAATGTACAATAACTAATGAAAAAAAAATCACTAGAGGGTGATTTTCAAAAGCAGGTTTGAGCAAATGAAAACCAGTCAGTAAACTTGAAGATATCAAATATGAGGAAGAGAAAATAAAAATATTGCACAAAAGTGAACAGAACATAAAGACCTATAAGATACCATGAGGAGAACCAACATCCTCCATATGCAGGTTTAAAAAAAAAATTTACTTATTTTTAGAGAGAGGAGAAGGGAGGGAGAGAGGGAGAGAAACATCAATGATGGTTGCCTTGCGTGTGCCCCCTACTGGGGACCTTGCCTCCAACTCAGGCATGTACCCTGATTGGGTATTGAACCGGCAACCCTTTGCTTTGCAGACCTGCACTCAATTCACTGAGCCACATCAGCCAGGGCCTAAATAAATAAAATCTTTTTAAAAAAGGGGTATGGCGGCAAGAGACTTGAATAGATATTTCTCTAAGAAGATATACAAATGGCCAATAAGAACATAAAAGGTGCTCAACACCACTAATTATTAAGGAAATATAAATAAAAACCACAATAAAATACAACTTACCCATTAGGATGGCTATTATTAAAAAAACAAAACACAGAAAATAAACACTGCCAGGAAGAGAGAAATTAGGACCTCGGTGCACTGCTGGTGGGAATATAAAATGGTGCATGAAAATATGGATATCCCTGGCTGGCGTAGCTCAGTGGATTGAGCCCGAGCTGCGAACCAAAGTGTCGCAGGTTTGATTCCCAGTCAGGGTACATGCCTGGGTTGCAGGCCATGACCCCCAGTAACTGCACATTGATGCTTCTCTCTCTCTCTCTGTCTCCCTCCCTTCCCTCTCTAAAAATAAATAAATAAAATCTTTAAAAAATATATGGATATGGAAAACAGTATGGTGGTTACTCAAAGAATTAAAAAAATAGAATTATCATATGATATAGCAATTCCAGTTCCAGATGTTATTCAAAAGAATTGAAGCAGAGACATGAAAGGTATTTGTACCCCATATTCATATCAGCATTTTTAATAAGAGCCAAGCGATCATCAATGAATGAATGGATAAACAAAATGTGGTACAGACATACAACAGAATATTATTCAGTCTTAAAAATAAAGAAAACTTTCACACATGCTATAACACAAATGAACCTTACAGGGGTGTCCAATCTTTTGGCATCTCTGGGCCACATTGGAAGAAGAGCTGTCTTGGGCTACACACTAAATACATTGTGACACGTAATCACAAAAAACTCTCATAATGGACTTCTGGCCAAGATGGAGGCATAGGTAGACACGCTGTGCCTCCACGCACAACCAAAATAAGGGTAACAATTTAAAAACAAAATAACAACCAGAACTGACAGAAAATTGAACTGTATAGAAGTCCAACAACCAAGGAGTTAAAATAGACACATTCATCCAGATCTGCAGGCCGGGTGGAGTCAGGCAGCCAGGTAGACAGGGGTCATAGCACAAAAAGTGCTGGCACCAAGAGCGCAAGACGGAAGTGGGCAGACACTGGGCACACAGGCAGCGGCTTGCAGACCCCGGGCATGGGGTGGCAACAAGCAGACCCAGTGAGGCAGTGATTGTGAAGCGAGGGACGTGTGCAAGGCAGCTGACAGCTGGGCGGTCCCACATTCGCACAAAGATAAACCAGGCGAGGCTGTGGAGTGAGACAGACTGCACAACCCAGGGTCCCAGCGCCAGGAAATAAAGCCTCAAGGCACCAACTGGGAACACCTGTGGGGGTTGAGGTGCTGGGAGAGACTCCCAGACTCACAGGAGAGTTCACTGGAGAGACCCACAGGGTCCTAGAATGTACACAAGCACACTCACATGGAAATCAGCACCAGAAAGACCCAGTTTGCTTGGGGGAAGCGGCAGAAGGGACAGAAATCTGACAGAAAGTGGAGCAAGCACCATTGTTCCCTCTCGACCCTGCCCCCACATACAGCGTCACAACCCAGCAACATGGGTTGTCCTGCCCTGGTGAACACCTAAGGCTCCGCCCCTCATACGTAACAGGCACAACAAGACAAAAATGGCCCAAACAAAATAACAGATCAAAGCTCCAGAAAAAATATAACTAAGCAACAAAGAGATAGCCAACATATCAGATGCACAGTTCAAAGCACTGGTGATCAGAATGCTCACAGAATTGGTTGAATTTGGTCACAAATTAGATGAAAAAAATGAAGGCTACGCTAAGTGAAATAAAGGAAAATGTACAGGGAACCAATAGTGATGGGAAGGAAACTGGGACTCAAATCAATGGAGTGGGCCAGAAGGACGAAAGAAACATTCAACCAGAAAAGAATGAAGAAACAAGAATTCAAAAAACTGAGGAGAGGCTTAGGAACCTTCAGGACATCTTTAAACATTCCAACATCTGAATCATAGGGGTACCAGAAGGGGAAGAGGAAGAGCAACAAGTGGAAAACTTATTTGAACAAATAACAAAGGAGAACTTCCCCAATCTGGCAAAGGAAATAGACTTCCAGGAAGTCCAGGAAGCTCAAGAGAGTCCCAAAGAAGTTGGACCCAAGGAGGAACACACCAAGGCACATCATAATTACATTACCCAAGATCAAAAATAAGGAGAGAATCCTAGAAGCAGCAAGAGAAAAGGAGACAGTTACCTACAAAGGAGTTCCCATCAGACTGTCAGCTGATTTCTCAAAAAGAGACCTTGCAGGCAAGAAGGGGCTGGAAAGAAGTATTCCAAGTCATGAAAGGCAAGGACCTACATACATCCAAGATTGCTCTATCCAGCCAAGCTTTCATTTAGAATGGAAGGGCAGATAAAGTGCTTCTCAGATAAGGTCAAGTTCAAGGAGTTCATCATCACCAAGCCCTTATTTTATGAAATGTTAAAGGGACTTATCTAAGAAAAAGAAAGTAAAAAACATGTATAGTAAAATAACAGCAAACTCACAATTATTAACAACCACACCTAAAACAAAAACAAAAAGAAACTAAGCAAACAAGTAGAACAGGAACAGAACCACAGAAATGGAGATCACCTGGAGGGTTAGCAACAGGGGAGTGGGAGGAGAGAGGGGGAAAAGGTACAGAGAATAAGTAGCATAGATGGTAGGTAGAAAATAGACAGGGGAAGGGTAAGAATGATATGGGAAATGTAGAAGCTAAAGAACTTATGACCCATGGACATGAACTAAAGGGGGAGGGGGAATGTGGGTGGGAGAGGGTGTGAGGGTGGAGGGGAATGAAGGAGGGAAAAAGGGACAACTGTAATAGCATAATCAATAAAATATATTTTAAAATAATAAAAAGTAAATATTTTAAAAACTCTCATAATGTTTTAAGTAAATTTACAATTTTGTGTTGGGCTGCATTCATAGCCATCCTTAGCCACATGGAGCCTGAGGGCTGCAGGTTGGACACTCCTGGGCCATATTATGCTAAGTAATAAAAAGCCAGACACAGAAGTACAATTAGTGTATGATTCTATGCACATGAGATACTATGAGCCTGGCATAGTCAGGCTCAAATAAAGGTCAGGTATAGGAAGGAGCGACACTAAAGTGCTATGGATCTAGACAGTCACTCAGCAAGGGAGAGAGCAAGACAGGTGGGATCCATTAGGCTAACATCAAGATTCCTGATCCCTGAATCCTTCCCTATGAGGCTTTGGGGAAGTGGGCGTTGGAGTGGAAACAAAGAGAAGTAGGCGTGCATTCAGCCTAGCCATAGTAACCACCGCACACACTCATGAAACTGGGGAAGGAAGCAGTGTCCATGGTTTAGATATGAGAAAGACAAAGTTGCCCCTGAGGAAGAAAGACAGAAACTCAATCAGGGCACAGGGGTGGATGTGAGAGTCTTACCCAGCGAGGATGTAAGTGCAAAGTTCTCAAGCATCACATCTTGGTACAAGCATCTCTGAGTCTCATCAAGGAGCTCCCATTCCTCCCAGGAAAAATAAAGGGCGACGTCCTCAAAGGTCACACATCCCTGCCAGGACAGATAAAACCAGGAATGACCTTACTCTTGAAGCTTACAATCCACCTCCCCACACATCTACCCCCATTTCCAACCTCCTCCCAAGATCCCCAAATCAGGGGAGATACTAAACCCTGGGGCCATTGGTGTCTTCTCTCTCTCAACTTCCCTTTAATCATTATGTTCACTGTTTTCCACTCTTTGACAGATGGAGCCCTTTAAGAACCAGGTAAGATCACCTTCCTCCTCTTATCCAGGCCTTCTACTGGCTCCAGAATAAATGCCTAACTTCTAGAGCAGTCATTCCAAGCCTGACTCTTGCCTCCTTCCTCTTTCATTCTCACCAGAAAGGAGCCCTGAAATTCCCTGAACCAGCTAAGCCTCACCTCCAAGTAGTTCCACATACTGTTACCTGTTTTTGTGATAAACTTCCACCTTTCTGTTGATGGCTCAAAATGAAAACCCCTCCACATAACCACTGACCTAGACTCAAGACCCTGAGCTCTCATGAGGATTCTCCAGGGTCTCCAAACTAAGGGCTGGAGGAATGCCGGTGAAGACTCATGACACCACAAATCCAGAGAAAATGTGTATTGGTACCAATGAGGGTCTGAGACACTTCCACTTACCTGTGTAGGCTCCAAAAGCACTTCTGCTGCCATGGAAACCTGAGGGAAGAGTCAGATCTTAGATGTCATGGTGGCAAGGTTTCAGGCATGGGGGCCTTCCCTATACCCGTGCAGGGCACCAGAGCCAGGTAGCCTGGGGCAACTGTCTAACCTCTGTAATGCCTCTCATCAACTGTGTGTCCTTGGAAAAAGACTAAACCTCCCTCTGCCTCAGTGTCTTCATAACCCCTACAGTCTATTCTTTTTTTTTCTTGATTTTTTAAATCATCACTTGAAGATTTTTTTTTTTTTTTGAGAGAGAGGGAGAGAAACCTCGATGTATGAGAAATATCCATTGGGTGCCTCCCAGACCCACTGGACCAGGGATCGACCCATAACCCAGGCACGAGCCCCGATTGGGGATCCAACCAGTGATCTTTTGGTGCATGGCATGACGCTCAAACCAACTGAGCCACCTGGTCAGGACCTACAGTCTGTTCTTGTACTGAGCAGACTTTGGGAGGGGGGGATTTTTCAAACTCTATCATATTAGATGTCTCTTTTCCTCCAAATTCTCCATGGCACCCAGAGCCCTAGGAAGGTAGACACAACTAACTCCCCAGGATGCCGTTGCAAGTGCAACTCTAGCCAAACTTAGTTTCCTGCAGAAGCGAGAAGGACACCAGGGTCCCGAATCTCCCTGTTCAGCCACCCCTGTGTGTCTTTACACGGCGGCCCCTCAGTCCGTCACGCTCTCCCACCTCATCACAACACGTGTCACCCACAAGAGCCTCACAGTTTGGACTCCGGGGCCTAGGCTGCAGGGCTCGGTGGGGTCCAGGGGGAGGTTCCGGGACCGGCGCATTCACCTCAGCAAGGCCGCCGCCCCACGGTGGGGAGGAGTGGAGTGGTGACAGCCAAGCGACCTGGAGGGGACCCCTGCACAGACGTCTCAAGGTCAGCCTCACGGGCAGCGATTCCCCCTACCCTCAACCAGTCGCTGTGCAAGTGGATTCAAAGCCTCCTCTCGCGTTTTGTCTATCACCTGCACCCAGACCTGTGGGAGCCGGAGCCGGAGCCTCTGAGCTCGTAACGTAATCCGAAAGCCGCTAAAATGACCACCAGGAACAGTCCGGAAGCCCCACCCCAGTGCGATTGCCCCCGTGAAAATGCCCTTTTCCTGGACTTTCATTCCTTTGACGTCGTGGTCGCTCAGCGCATAGCTCTCTGGGTAATGTAGTTCGCACAGCCGCACCGCGCTGGAAGCCCCTCGCCAGACCACCAGAAAAACAGTTAAGGAGTGGCTGCTGGGAAATGACCTCGCCACCATTTTTGTGAGCTTCAGTAAGCTCTGTCTGAGACAAAAGAAGAAACCATTCAGGAACAAGATGGAGAAGACAGGTAATGGGCAGCGAAGAACAAAACGGGATCTGGACCTTTGGTACCCACAGAACACATCTCTCCAATCTCAGTGATGGTGCCCAACACAGTAAGAAATGCTGTTATCCATAAACGTAAAATTGTTTTACCTATAAAACAGAAAACTATTTTATATAGGCATATTCTTTTTCCTAATAAAGATTTTAATATTTTAAGGTGTGAAATATAAAGTTAACTGTTGTTTATGAAGGAGTACTACTCTATGGATATTTTATAAAACAAAAGTATGAGAATTCTAACTACTAGAGAAAAACAGTGTTGGCAGCTTGATGTCCTTTTAGAATTCTGCCAGCACACTGAGGTACCACTGTGTGTTCCTATGTATTTCTATACAAAATGTTTTTTGTTTAGTATTTAGTTTGCTTCTAAGTGCAAACGAGGCACATCAAGAGGGGAGGTTTTAAATTTTATTCAGCTAATAAAACAATTTAGGAATTATATTGAACTAGTTCTGTATGTATTTATAATGGAAACTTATTGGTGATACATACATTAAAAATAAATTAGAGCAGTATAACAATCACATTTCTCTTTTAAAAGATTTTTATTGAGCCCTGGCTGGCGTAGCTCAGTGGATTGAGCACCGGCTGTGATCCAAAGCATCCCAGGTTCGATTCCCAGTCAGGGCACATGCCTGGGTTGCAGGCCACGGCCCCCAGCAACCACACATTGATGTCTCTCTCTCTCTCTCTCTTTCTCCCTCCCTTCCCTCTCTAAAAATCAAGAAATAAAGTCTTTTAAAAATTAAAAAAAATTTTTTTTAGAGAGAAGGGAAGGGAGGGAGAAAAAGAGGGAAAGACACATTGATATGTAGGTAGCTTCTGGCATGTCTCCAACTGGGGACCTGTGGAGGTACTTACAAATAAATGTAAGTATTTGAAAAGGTTCTATTCTAAAAAAATTTTTTTAGAGAGAAGGGAAGGGAGGGAGAAAAAGAGGGAAAGACACATTGATATGTAGGTAGCTTCTGGCATGTCTCCAACTGGGGACCTGTGGAGGTACTTACAAATAAATGTAAGTATTTGAAAAGGTTCTATTCAAATAACAATCCCAACTTATATCTGGGTGTTACATTTGGAATTAATTAAACTAAATTAATTTATTTTTTAAACTAAAATATAGACATTCCATTATGGCCCTGGTTAGTGTGGCTCAGTAGATTGAGTGCTGGGCTTGCAAACCAAAGGGTTGCTGGTTTGATTCCGAGTGGGGGCATATGCCTGGGTTGTCAGGCTGGGTACCCAGTAGGGGGCACTCAAGAGGCAACCGCACATTGATGTTTCTCTCCCTCTTTTTCTCCTCCTTTCCCCTCTCTAAAAATAAATAAAATCCTTTTAAAAATTAAAAAAGAAAAAGAACATATCGATGATCTTATGAATTTTTGAGTAGTTGCAATATTTTACATTTCAATTTTTCTGTTTAGATGCAAACTATGGGTCATAATCATTAAAAAAGACATGTTGGATATCAATTAACCTTGAAGAAAAAGCATTATCAATTTTTTTTGTTTTTTCAATAATTATTTTCTTTTATTTCTTTTTTTCAGAACTTTTTTTTAATCTTTGTTTAAGTACAGTTTTCTCCCTTTTATTCCCATTCCAGCCCACCCACCCAACCCTCCTCACTTCCCTCCCATTACCACCCTCCCCCTAGTTTTTGTCCCTGTGTCCTTTAAATTTGTTCCTGTAAACCCTACCCATTCTCCCCTGAAATTCCCTCTTCTCTCCCCTCTAGTCACTATCAGCCTCTCCTCTATTTCAGTGACTTTGGTTATATTTTGCTTGTTTCTTTGTTTTGTTGTTTAGGTTCCTGTTAAAGGTGAGATTATATGATATTTGTCTTTCACTGCCTGGCTTATTTCGCTTAGCATAATGCTTTCCAGCTCCATCCAAGCTGTTGCAGAGGGCAGGAGCTCCTTCTTTTTTTCTGCTGCATAGAATTCCATTGTGTAAATGTACCACAGTTTTTTGATCCATTCATTTACTGATGGGCATCTAGGTTGCTTCCAGCACCTAGCATTATCAATTTTTAATGCCTGCCACTAATCTAAATAATTTACAAATGTTCTGTTTGTTTTTTAAAATATTTTATGTGCCCTTACTGGGAATTGAACCTACAAACTTTCACTTTGTGGGACGACACCCAACCAACCCACATCCTTCAGGGCTGATGACGTTGGTCTTAATTTGCATTTTCCTGGTTGCCAGTAGGTGGACTTTTTTTCCTTTTTGAGACTGTCCTTTGGGCCCTGACAGGATAGCTCAGTTGGTTAGAGCATTGTCCGGATATGCCAAGGTTGCAGGTTCAGTCCCTTGTCAGGGTACATACAGGAATTAACCAGTGAATGCATAAATAAGCGAAACAACAAATTGATATTCCTCCCTCCCTCCAAAACCAATTTTTAAAATAATTTCCCTTTGGAATGCTTCTAAAGTGACTCTACATGCTTTCTGCACTCATTTTCATTTGAATTTTTTCTCTTCAACTTACAGAATTTATTAAATTTATTTACATACTAGCAATTATAGAGGATTCAAACATTTTCTCAAGCATGTGGCTTGTAATTTTAATTTTTATGTTTTAATACTAGAAGCACTTTGGTAAAAATTAAAATTTATATACCACACGGCCCCAGAAAATTTTATTTAAAAACTGCCATTTCCCATTATTTCGTAAGCACTATCACAGTTGTGAATCATGAATCTATAGTGTGTTCTACTAGTTTTTAAGCTAAACTTCATGCCATTAAGACACTTTATTTAGCCCTGGCTGGAGTGGCTCAGTGGATTGAGCACTGGCCTGTGCACCAAAGAGTTGCTGGTTTAATTCCCAGTCTAGAGCACATGCCTGGGTTGTGGGTCATGTCCCGAAGTATTTCATGCATACTGGGTTGCATGAGAGACAACCACACACTGATGTTTCTCTTTCTCTTTCTCCTTCCCTTCCCCTCTCTAAAAATAGGTAAAATCTTTTTTAAAAATCTAAATTTTAAAAAAGACACCTTACTTAATGTAGATTTATAATATGCTTTATAGCTTTTCAAGAAGTCATTTCCAACTTTACATATTAAAGCAATTGTCAGTTTTTGCCTATGGTATTTAGAAACTACTTCAGACTTATGAAACAATGTGGAATTTTTATATTTCTAGTATTATAAGCCCCCAAAATAATAGCAGTCATTTTGTTTGGCAAAGCCACTAAGTAATGCAAGTTAAGATTGTCAACATTAGATATCTATGGATATTTTTTAAAAATTTTAGCCCAAAATGAAACCTACCAACATGTTACCTTTACTTTCCATTTTTATTCCAAAACCTATTGACTTATCTCATTTGAATATTCTCTCCAAGATTTTCATCAAGGTATTCTTTATATTGGCAAAATACATAGTAAAAAAGAAAGTGAAGGACTGTGCCAACTCTCTATTTATTTTTATTGATTTTAGAGAGGAAGAGAAATATTGATTTGTTCCACATATTTATGCATTCAGTGGTTGACCCTTGTAAATGCCCTCACTGGGGACTGAACCCACAACCTTGGTATATCAGGATACTGCTCTAACCAACTGAGCTATGCATTTGAAATGTAAAGTAATGCTGCATCCACTTTTATGTTGAGGAATGCAAAATAGATCCTGTTCTTTCTCTTTACATATGGGTAGGCTTTGCCCACTCTAGCTTTGGTGCATTTTTCACTGACCCACACCAGCCAGGGTCAGTTTTGGTGTTTTTTCTGAGTACTTGTCCAATACGCAGGAGGCCAGGACAGGGCGCCCCTCCCAGTGACTACCTCCATAACAGCAACTGTATTTCCCAGAAGAGTGTGCACCTTAAGTGCCCGACAGTGCTAGACTTAGGAAAGCTTGGAAGAGGATTGTTTCTGTGAGTGTACTATTTGAAAGTGAGACTTTTGGTGTCTTCCTTGTGGTTTCATTTCAGCTGCTTTTGATCCTGTTCATCTGGTCAGTGGGTTGAACTGGGATACTGGAACAGCAGAGCAAGAGGAGGTCTTGTTATCTGGGTGACCTCCCAAGCCACCCAGCTTGAGTTCCCTGAAACTGTTCCACCTTCAGAGCCATGGCCATGGCCATGCACCCAGGCCACACCCCACCCAAATCTTGAAGACTCCCTGCTCAGGTCACTGCAGTTCAGGACCATCTCCAGAACAGTAAGGTGTTTCTGGGCAGGGTTCCTATTTCTGAAACACAGTATGAAGTGTAGAAGAATGTTGCAGATGGAGTGACCAGCAAGCACAAAGTCTTGGAAGTATGCTTGCTTGAGCTCAGAACAGTCAGGAAACCTGGTGTCCCACTTAGTCTGCAGGGGGTAGTGTGCCTGCCATGGCAGCTCAAGCAGCCACTGTGGGGCTCCTGTGAGCCATGGAAGTTGGAACAGAGAATCTGAGTTAAGGTTTTCTATTTTTTTTTTAATTATGGTTTTAAAAGTATTCCGAATGTTGCTCAGGGAGAAGTGATCATGATGGTAGAGGGAAAGAAATAAACTAGTAAGGTGGTCACTTGCAAGTTTTGGTGTTGGTGGAGCAGACTGGCCTGTAGTATGTGGGGTTTTGTTTTTTTAAAGATTTTGTTTATTTATTTTTAGAGAAAGAGGAAGGGAGGGAGGGAGAAAGAAGGGAGAGAAACATCGATGTGTGGCTGCCTCTTACATGTCCCCAAGTGGGGACCACTCAATCCACTGAGCCACACCAGCCATGGCAGTGTGTAGGTTTCTTGACTTCACGCAGGGAAGACTTCACAACATGAGTCCAGGTGACTTTGAGAGTACGTTTATTAAAGCTGGGGACAGTGAAACAAGGAAGGACTTACAGAAGCAACAGGAGAAGGAAAGTGAGCCTAGGTGGGGCTGCTTTGGCTCACAGAGAAGTCAAGAGAAAAGGGCACCAGGGAGGCAGGTTCAGGGGGTTAGCCTGGGACAGCTACTGCTGCCCATTGCTTCCTTGTTCCAAGTCTCATGGAGTCCCTTAGTGTTTAGGTAAAGAGGGGGGAGGGAAAGGCATGGGTGTGCTGCCTAGAGGGATAGTGTACACTGGGTCCTTCATTTTGAGGGTTTTTAAAGGCTGGCAGTTTAGGGGAGGTCATATGGATTTCAATAGGATATTCACCAGCTTTGTGCTGATGTGCCAAAATGAGATTTATCCCCTTAACTACATCTGTCTTTGGAGGTGGTTGGCAAATGGCACTAATTGCATTTCTGCTATCTATCTCCCTGAGTAGGGTGATTTAAGCTATTTAACCTCTGGTTGGGGAGAAGTATAAACCATTGACTCCTAAGTGTCCTTGATTAGGCAAGATAGGATTTTGCAATTTACTAAGAAGGCTGTAACCTCCTTGGGTATTTAACTGTCTCAGTTTCCCTATACCTCTTGTCCTGGCTTACTAGTCTATTTCAGGTGGGCCAGAGAGGTGGGAGTAGAGTGGGGATAAGTGCAGATTCTTGATGGAGCTTAAAGACAGAACTGATAGGTTTTCCTGCTACATCAGATGTGGCTGTGAATGAAGGTAAGAAGTAAATAACCACCCTAGATTTTTTTGTCTGAACATCTAGAAGAATGGAGATGGGTAATTTGGTGGTAGGAACAGGATTCAGGGGTAATATTATGAGTTGGATTTTGGACATGGTGAATCTGAGATGTCCCAAAGGTGGAGGTGGCACATGGACAACTGGATTCACAGTTCTCGAATTCTGGGGAGGGGCCCTGACACTTGGACCCAGCCTAGTGCTCAGACTGGGAGAGCAGAGAATCATAGACTTTACTCTCAGATAAATCCTGAAATGAGAGAGGAGAGGGATGGGGCTGAGGGCAGAGCAGAGTCTCAGTGAGGCTGACTCAAGGGGGAGGAGGGTCTACAAGGGGGGTCCACCAGAAGGGAAAGCAGTAGGCCATAAGGAGCTCTGCCTTGAAATAATGGCAGAAATTTAAAACTGTATGGACTTAAGTTATACGGCATTTAGTGACTGAAGTCACACATTTGTGAAGGTGCTAACCCATTTATTTGTTCATTAGAATTTGCCACTATCTAAAGTTGGCTTGTTGATTTCTTTCATACCATTTAACATACTCACCATCCCCCCATATTTTTTGTACATTAGCTATGCTCAGCATCATGAAATACCAGGGACATGCAAAATCTGAGTGAGATACTGCTACACATTTACTAAAAGGATCAAAATTTTAAAAGACCAGGCCTATGCACTATTAGCAAGGCCATGCGAGAAGTGGAACCTGTATACACTGCTGGTAAAAATACAAAAGGAACAATCATTTTAGATGACAGTTTGGTGTTTCTTAAAGTTATACATTCATGTTTACTCGGACTCGGGTATTGCACTTCACAGTATTAACATGAGAAAGGAAACATATCAATATGAGCTTTGTCCAGTTTTTGCAATGGCCAAAATTAGAAACAATTAAAATATCCATAAACAGATGAATGGTGGTACATTAATGTAACATGCTTGTGAACAATATAAAAAGAATAAACTACTCAAATAAGCAACACTGATGATTCTCAAAATAAATATGTCACATGAGGGCACCCAAAGAAAACACTAAACACTTTATGATTTCAGTCATATAAAATTTTAGAAAATATAAACCAATCTATTATTACAAATGCAAATCTGTGGCTGCCTGGAGGACAGTGATTATTAAAGGACACAAGGTAAATATAGGGGTGATGGAAAGGTTTATTATTATGTCTGATGGTTTCAGGGGTTTGCATGAATGTCAAAATTTATACAATTATACAGTTTAAATATGGACAGATTATTGCATGTTGTTTATACCTTATTAAAACTTGAAAAATAGGTTCAAATTAAAGTCTGGATTTCTTACCCTTTAGAAAATCAGGCTTGGCAACTGAACTGACTCCACATCCTCTCTCCTCATGAGGCAGACACTTGCCTGAGTGGCAGCAAAAATAGGCGAACACTGAAGGGTGTTTCCACTTTACTCACAGGAACGCTGACCAGGTCACGAAGACCACATTGCTGAACTGAGATCTCCTTTCTTGTGTTTCTGCACAACGGTGATCTTAGGTGAACAGCTCAGAGGGGCCACAGAAACCCACAAACCTTTACATTTTCTCTGACAGGACCTTTAGCTACACAAGATACATAGTTCCTGGAGGGCCTGAGAACATCTGTACCCGCTCATCCTTCACAGCTATAGGTACTAAACATCGTGGACCTTTCAGAAAAGGTCCACAAATAAATAAAGGCAGAGCCTGCTAACCAGTTTATGGCAGTTTCCTCCACTCTATTAATCCAGTGTTTCTATAACAACAATCATTTTCCTGGGCCCCATAATCTTAAAACTAGTGACGTTATCCCACAGAATTCAGGACATCAGGGCCCACGGCTCCGCTGCAGGACCTGTGGGACAGATGTCCTCTCACCAGTGCTGAGCACAACACAATACCCCCTGTGAAGAAGAGAACAAGTTCACACTGCTCTCAGAAGCACTGAGGGTTGTCACAAGGACCCCCTCCTCAGGTTGAACTCTGAACCTACAAAAGTCATGGTATCCAAGCTACAAAATAGGAGTCCAAAGCTCTGCAGTCTTTCCTTAAAGGCTCTGAGCAGCAATGCAAACTAGGCCAAACTTGAAGAGGTATATTCTACCATCATACTATATATACACTCTGAGGCACACAGTTTGGGATCCCAACCAAAGCTGTTCACCCCACATTCTAACAAACCCAGTTAATTTCAAAGCACCCTGAACAGTGACTAGAACCCCCAAGATTAAAAAGACCTTTATTGTCATACAAACAAGAGCAATGATAGGCACAGTTCCTGGGTTGGTGACTTGGAGGCTAGAAAATGCCATCACAAAAGTCACATGAAACCAACAATATCCCTGAAAAATGTAGTCCCAACAGTGCCCTAGGCCAAAACTGGGTAAGGTCCATGCACTAACTCATCAGAGAGGAAAAATTGGGAAAGAGTTAAGTGCTCAGGTTACTGATGCATCATTCTGCAAGTGACAGCACACTGGGGCTTACTTCCTGAATATTTTGGAATGGATAAATGTTGCACACTGTGGGCTGCAGCGAGGAGGTAGACATGAAATGGCTTCTGCTACAAACTGCCAGTGACATAAATCTGGCCATGGTAAAAAAGTGCAATGCCATTCCCACATACCTGAAATTTATATAGATGTTTACATGTATGAGGCTCAATACAGGCAAATGGCACCTTCATAAAGGACCTCCTCCAGTGCTGGCTCACTGAACAAAAATATAGTATATACCTATGCAATTAAGGCAGTTCTCCCATTTGAAATCTGTGGTATCCAATACAGCAAGTCCTTTGACTGAATGCCTTCTCATATTCACTGCACTTACAAGACCTTTCTCCACTGTGAATTCTCTAGATCACAGGTGGCAAACACAAGGCCCATGGGCCAAATCTGGCCTTCCACCTTGTTTTATCCAGCCTGGCACCTTGTTTCTACCGGTGGCAACGCTGAGCTCTCGCTTAACTGTTACAGAGTAGTTACATTTAAACAGTCCTAAAATTACATTCGGCCCTTTGAAGGCAACTGCCAGGCTGATGTGGCCTCCGGTGAAAATGAGTTTGACAGCCCTGCTCTAGATGTAATGAGGCTGGATCTTGGTAAATGATATCTCACAATGCCACACTCAAGGCTTTCATCCAATGTGATCCAGTGTTTTAGGAGCCTGGAGTTAAAGGTAAATAACTTCCCACATTCCAATACTCCTAAGGCCTTTATCCAGTGTGAACTCTCTGGTGTTTAATGAGGCTGGAGCTATGGCTAAAAGATTTCCCACATTTACTACACTCATAAGGCCTTTCTCCAGTGTGAATTCTCCTGTGTTTGATGAGACTAGAGTTTTGAGTAAAGGATTTCCCACATTCACTGCACTCATAAGGCCTTGATCCAGTGTGAACTCTCTGGTGTTTTAAGAGACTGGAGCTGTAAGTAAAGAACTTCCCACATTCACTGCACTCATAAGGCCTTTCTCCAGTGTGAACTCTCCGATGCTGAAGAAGCGCAGAGCTTTGGCTAAAAGATTTCCCACATTCACTGCATTTATAAGGCCTTTCTCCACTATGAACTCTGCGGTGTTCAATGAGGCTGGAGTTTTGAGTGAAGGATTTTCCACATTCATTGCATGCATAGGGCCTTGATCCAGAGTGAACTCTCTGGTGTTTTATGAGACTGGAGTGGTAGGTAAAAAACTTCCCACATTCACTGCACTCATAAGGCCTTTCTCCAGTGTGAACACTCCGGTGTTGAAGGAGTGCAGAGCTTTCACTAAAGGATTTCCCACATTCACTACACTCATAAGGCCTTTCTCCAGTGTGAATTCTTCGGTGTTTGATGAGGTTGGACTTGTTGCTAAATAATTTTCCACATAAGTCACACTTGTGAGGCCTTGCTCCAGTGTGAACTCTCCGGTGTTGAATGAGGCTAGAGCTTTGCCTAAATGACTTCCCACATTCCCCACACTCATAAGGCTTTTCCCCAGTGTGAACTCTCCAATGGTCATTGAGGCTATAGCTTTTGCTGTAAGACTTTCCACATTCACTGCACATGTAGCATCTTTCTCTAGTGAAAACTCTCTGGTGTTCAACAAGTGTGCGTTTGCAATTTAAGTCTTTTGTGTATTCTCCAGAGTTACGTATAGTTTTTCCCCTGTGAGAGGCTGCCCCACACTCAGTTCTCCTCTTTGTCTTCTCCTTGGTGCATGCAGCCTGATGCTGGAGAAATCCTGAGCTGGCTAGGAAGTCCCTCACAGCCTCTCCATAGGAAAAGGGTTTCCCTGACATACAGAATTTGCAGTCCTTTACAACTGAGGCTCTGCCCATGTTGCTCCTGAAGCACTTCTCTCCCATGTGCTGCTTCTGATGCTGAAGTTCCACGCTGACATACAACTGCTTCTCACATGCCCCTATCTTGCACAGTTTCTGCCCATGACGTGTTCCCTGGTGCTTGATCAAGTGCAAAATGTCTCTCAAGTCCATACCACACATCTCACAAGGATGGGCCTTCTGGGGAGACACACCTGCCTTGCGAGTCCAGACTTGTGACACTCCTTGTAAAGAATCACGGTGCTCAGAAGGTACCTCCTCATTCTGGGCTCCATGCCAACAACCTGAAAGCAAGAAGCACTGGTGAAGTGCATGCTGCCTTTGGTGAGAGAGGGCAGACGTATGTGTCTGACAAACTCAGGAGTAGGTCTGTGGTACCATGTGAAGGACCAGGATGTTGGTTCAGGCTGAGGATGGGGCTGGTTAGCAATATTGAGCTATACAGAGCACAGGATTGGGGAGGCCTCACAAGGTGAAGGACACAACCATGCAGTGTGACACAGAGGAGAGACAGGGCCTACGGTTCATTTCTCTACTACCAACTTTCCAAAGGAACTTCTCTACTGGTGACACATGAATGTGTGTAGAAGGGTATATTAAGAACCAAGGAAATACAACTACAGCAGGGAAGCTGGGGTTCAAGGACTGTTTAGGAATATGCACACTCAAGACACAATGCACAGGAGCCAATGAGAACACACTGTAACGGAATGGTGAGAAAAATGGTTTAGATACCATATGTGGCCACATGTACTGGCACCAAAATACTAGTCTGCAAATAGGTGTCTGGTATGATTTGAACACAGCAATGCCATCACACCCTCCCCCTAAATGACACTCTTCAGGTCCAGGCTCTTTCTGAGCCCATCTTGCTATGTACAGATGGATTCATACTCATCCTGAGAACCACTGCTTTCCAACCCAACCCAACTCCCTCAATGAGCAAATTTATGGCAACTTATACAATTACTAAGGGAAGGAGATAGCACAGATGAGGAGCCAGCACTAGTCCAGAACAACTTAGCACATGATTGCCAACAGAAAACTAAATACTACAGAAAACTTCAAAAGAGGGTTTTGCAAGAATAGCCTGTGGGTTATATAAGGAGTCACCATGTCAGTGATGGCAATTCCTGGCATAGGCGCACCCAAGAAAGTGTCGGCTAGAGGAAGGAAACAGAACCTGGGCACACAGGAGCCTTGGATTTGGACAAGGTCACTCCATCAGGAAGGCAAGTAAAGTCATATCCATTAGGTTCACTGGAAGACTCCTAATCCTGATTCCTTCCCTGCAAGTCTACAGGACAACTAGTGTTGGGGCTGCTCATGGAAGGAGAGTGCGGTGCACACACCTCAGCCCAATAACCACAGCACCTTCCCTGGGAACTAGGGAAGCAGAGCCCGTGGTCCTGCTGTGTGGATAGGCCTGCTTGTTCCTGGAGAAGGGAAGGGTAGAGACTACTAGCTCACAGCACAGGGGTGAGTTTGAAAACCTTACCCAAGGAGGTTATAAGTGCCAGGTTCTCCAGCATCACATCGTGGTACAGATGTCTCTGAGCCTCATTAAGGAGATCCCATTCCTCCAAGGAGAAGTATACGGCCACATCCTCAAAGGTCACCCTGCCCTGGCATGATGGGGACAGATGAAACCACAAAAAATTCCTCTACTGAGAACCCACAATCCCTTCCCCCAAACATCGACCCTGTGCCCATCCTCCTCCCAATCTCCCCAACTCAAAGGACAAACCAAGCCCTGGTGCCACTGGTGCTGTTGTCTCCTCATGGGCTCACTGATGACAGGGTACAGCCATCAGCAAGAGGAAAGAGGTGGATAAGCAGACATGCAAGTTTTGGACTTGCATAGAGGGGTCCGCCCACTCATGCCAGGCTATTCCGCTGGTGTGGCTAAGTTCACGTAAGCCTTGATACCAGGTCCCTGGAGTCATCAGGCATACTCCTTCTCCCAGAACATATAATTCTTGAGACTGGATCCCACAGTCCCATATCTATGGTCACCACCACTTCACTGTTCCACACCAAAGGCATCTTCCTGGCCTCCCCACATAACTTGTGTCTTAATCACCTCCTCTTCACCCCACTGGTAAGGGTGGGATTCCCATCTTAGAGTTATAGTGATGGCCAAACACACAACACCTGACTCTGTACAAAGCTGATGAATAGCACAGCCTGGGAGAGGAGGACACCACACAGCACACAGGGCCACCTGGGGGATGCATTCTGAAAAAGAGTGAATAGCAGTAGCTCAGGGCCCACCAAAGTCCCCATAAAACCCTGGTTGTAATTCATAGAGTGGTGGGTGAATAAACTCTAGCTCAGGCCTGAGAGTCATCTCGCCTTCATTGCTCCTAAGCTGCTGCATCCACTTCATGTCTACTCCTTCCACTGGAAACCTAGGCCACCTGACAGACTGTCCTGTTACTGACACATTCTCCTCCCATGGCAACTTACCTCCCTCTAATGTGTTTCAATACCATCACTCAGGTATCCAAGCAAGAGAGCAGTCCTGAGCCCCTAACCTCCCCATTTCCTGGCACAGTTTTTACCGCCATAACCATAAAAACAATTGTCCTAAAAATGACCCAAATCATTCACCTTGGCCCACACAGCAGCCATTACATTTCAGATGTCTCCATCTTCAACCCTTCCCCAGATTTCCAGACCTGTGTGTTTAGCTGCTCACTTAATGCCTCCACATAGTGCCCCCCCTCCCCAAAATCTCAGAACATCCTGATATCTCCCATGACTATTACTTCTACCAACTTCCTCATTTTAAGTTGAGCTTCTGTTCTTAACAGCTGCTGAGAAAAAATCCTAGTTTTATCTGAGTCCCATTTCACACCCTCACAGTCCATGTTAGAAAACAAACTTGGCACCCGATGCAGGCTGATTCCCAGTCACTGGCACATACCTTTGTTAAAGGTTCAATCCCTAGACACGGCTCACACGGGAGTTAACGTATCAATGTTTCTCCCTCTAAAATCAATAAGCACGTCCTCAGGTGAGGATTTTTTTTAAAAAGAGTTACACAGCACAATGCAATCACAACTCCTAAGCCACGACTCTGCTCCATTAACCCTCAGCTGAATTATGGCAATAGCCCCGACCCCGCTCCCCTTCTTCCTTTTTCCTCCCTCAACCCCAGTCTATGATGATACAAGAAACAGAAGGACCCAGGTAAGACTTCGGTAGTATCTCCTCTCCCTTCAGATCCAACCCCTGCATTAGCGCCAGAATAAACACCCAGTCTCTCAGGTAGCCATTCCAGTCCTGACTCCAGTTCCCTTGACCTTTGTTACAAAGAAGAGACCACCCTTGGAGTGGCCTTAGGACCCCGTCCTTAGGGTTCCTCCAGATTCTCCAAACCCAAAACCGAGGAAATGTCACTTTACAGTCCGAAGACACCATTACGGGGAATATGTGGGTGGTGGTCAGGGCCAGTGAGGGATGGGGACATGCTTCCGCTTCCCTGTGGTCCCATGACCGCGTCTGCAGCCACGGGACAGGTGAACAGAAGTAGGCCTTAGAGAAATGAGTTCATGGAGGGTTTCATGGCCTCAGGCAAGCCGGTACTGCACCCCGTCCTGAAGACTGGGACTCAAGCCGACCGTTTAACCACGGTGCCTCAGTGCTCAGTTCACCTTTTACCAGGTGCTTCTCAGCCCACCACCCTCTCCCCATCGCGTGACACTGTGTCACCGTCAACTGCCTCTGGGTCCTGGACACCAGGGCCTAGGCTGCAGGACGTGGCCGGCACTCCGTACCAGGGCAACAGGGCTCAGTGGAGTGTGTGTGTGGGGAGAGGGGGCTGAGGTACCAGCACTCACCTCAGCCGGGCGCCTCCGTGCGGGCGCCGCCATCAGACTCTTTGGGCGGGACGGGGCGGGAGTGGCAGACAAGGAGGGAGCCCGGGGCACTGGCACGGGGGTTCCTGTTTTGGCCTTGCCGCGGGTCATACAGGCCGTGGAGTCGAACAGCCGTGATTATGGAGCGGGACCACGACTATCGAGCTTTCCGGACCCGGTACCACAACCCTGATTCCCCACTCCAGAGTCTTTGACTGTGAACAAAACCAAGAGCAGCTAACATGGCCGCCAAGCGAGACCCAGAAGTCCCGCCCCCAGAAAAAAATGAGCCAACGATGAAGCACCTCTGTTCTAAGTTCTCACTGGAGAGCGATGCTGCCGCTCGGCTCTGAGCATTCTGGGTAATGTAGTTCCCACAGAGAAAAAATTCAGGCGATGACAGGCTTACTGCCCAGAAGGTTATGCTCGCCTGGGAGGAGCATTGGGATACGGCACATCTAGGTAGGCTTCACCTCCCCTTTAAAGGGATCTTCATCATATTTCTGCGAAGTGCTCTTTGCAAATGATCACCCAAATTATGGAGACATATTATTTGAGACTCTGAAGCTCAGCATACTCCTGAAGGCTAAAGATCTTTTTTTTTAATTATATTGTACTGATTATGCTATTATAGTTGTCCCTGTTGTTCCCCCTCTGTCCCCCTCCACCAGGTAGCCCCCGACTCCCTCAGGCCATCCCAACACCTTTGTTCATGTTCATGGGTCATGCATATAAGTTCTTCAGCTTCTTCATAACCTATACTGCACTTTACATCCCCATGACTATTCTATAACTCCTAATTTGTGTTTCTTAATCACTTCACCTTTTCATCTATGCCACAAATACTCTCTCCCATATGACAGCCATTAAACTGCTCTCCATATCTATGATTCTGTTTTTTCTGCTTGTTTGCTTTGGGAGTTCAATTTTTGATAGATATATATTTATTGCCATTTTATTGTTCACACTTTGATCTTCTTTTTCTTAAATAAGTACCTTTAGCCCTGGCTGGTGTGGCTCAGTGGATTGAGTGCTGGCCTGTGAACCAAAGGGTCACCGGTTCCATTCCCAGCCAGGGCACATGCCTGGGTTATGGGTCAGGTCCCTAGCAGGGGCTGCATGAGAGACAACCACACATTGATGTTTCTCTTGCTCTTTCTCTCTCCCTTCTCCTCTGTACAAAAATAAAAGAAAATCTTTATTAAAAAGTCCCTTTAAAATTTCAAATAAAAATGATTTGGTGGAGACTTTAAAAATGAACACTTTAAGCATTTTCTTACCTGGGAAGGTCTTTATCTGCCCTTTGGTTCTAAATGATAGCTTTGCTGGATAGAGTAGTTTAGGTAGTAGGTCCTCCTTTATATCACTTTGAATATTTATTGCCAATCTCTTCTAGCCTGTAAAGTTTCTTTTGAGAAATCAGCTGACAATTTTATGGGAACTCCCTTGTAGGTAACAACCTGCTTTTCTCTTGCTACTTTTAAGATTCTCTCTTTATCTTTAAACTTTGGCATTTTCATCATGATGTGTCTTGGTGTGGGCCTCTTTGAATGTATCTTGTTTGGACTATCTGTCTCTCTGTGCTTACTGGACTTGTGTGTCTAATTCCTTCACCAAATTAAGGAAGTTTTCTTTCATTATTTTTCCTTTTTAAAAAATATTTAATTTTATTTATTTTTAGAGAGTAGGTAAGGAAAGGAGAAAGACAGGGAGAGAAACATCAGTGTATGGTTGCCTCTTGTGTGCCCTCCACCAGGGACTCAGCCCACAACCCAGGCATGCACCCTGACTGGGAATTGATCTACCGACCCTTTGGTTCATAGGCCAGCACTCAATCCACTGAGCCACACTACCTGGGGCTCTTTTATTATTTTTTTCAAACAGATTTCTAATTTCTGGCTCTTTCTCTTCTCCTTCTGGCATCCCTAAGATGTGAATATTGGTATGCTTGAAATTGTCCCAGAGGCTCATTATACTATCCTAATTTTTTGGATTCTTTTTCTTGTTATTCTGGTTTGTTGTTTTTTGCTTCCTTCTGTTCCAAATCATTGATTTGATTCTCAGTTTCATCCACTCTACTGTTGTTTTCCTGTAAATTGTTTTTCATTTCAATTAGTGTATCCTTCATTTCTGACTGGAAGATCAGAAGAATGAGCCCAAACAAGTCATTCATATGGAAAAGTGACCATTAACTGCCTGGGTGGGTCCATAAGTTGGGTGGGGTAAAGTCTCAGGGAATCACCAAAGCAGGACAAACAGTGTGAGCCAGGATGATGGAGTCTCAGATATGGTATCCAACACAGTCTGCAGCTCTGTGAGGGGGAGGACTCAGAAGAGGATCAGTGGCTTCTGCTGGCAGTTTTGTCTAGGAGAAGGTTGTCCCTCAGCTCTTGCGCTGATACCAGACACTTCAGGTCCTCCCTGGATGCCACTGGTGTCTTTCAACCTGCTGCTCTGCTGCTGGAGCTTAGCGAGAGTGAGTTTGAGTATGTCTGTATACAGGCCCTTTAAGAGGAACTGCCTGGTAATCCAGAAGTTTCTTCCATCAACCCAATCTCCACTGGTTTTTACATCCAGAAGCCATGGGGACTTACCTTCCCAGCATGGAAACCCTGGGCTGGAGGGCCTGGTACAGAGTTGGGACCCCTCACTTTCAAAATATCCCTCCCAATTTTTATCTGCCACAGGGGTGTGGGACCAGGCCGTTCTATGTCTCCACCCCTCCTACTGGTCTGTATAGATGTGGTTTTTCAATTCCGTGGTCACAGGACCTCCATTCAAGTCAATTTCTGTGGGCCTGAGTGATTGTTGTTCTATACTTTAGTTGTAATTTGATGTGGTTGTGCAAGGAGGTGAACCATGTTTACCTAGGCTGCCATCTTGAAGCAAAAAACCAAGATCTTATTTCTGATGCTCTCAAAGTCTACAAATCCAAATAAACATATTGCATGGAGTCATTCAGACAAAAAATATGTCCACTGTTACAGAAGCTAATAAACATTACCTTATTTCAAGTTTGGTCAGAGACAAGAAAGAAAATACTTCCAATTGTGCCATGTCAAGGAAGATACAGGAAGGATGCTAAGCCACCCTGAAGCAGGAGGACACAGAAGAATCTGACAGCATTTCTTCTTGACTAACTTCAGTCAGGTTCCTCTAAGCTCTTTTTGACTAGGCCTTGGGACTTGTCCTGCTAAGTTAGTTTAGCAAGAACTTTTCACCTTCAATATCTGATCATTACTGATATCTGATCAAATTTCTTCATCCCTCACCATCACATGGGTTATATCTGACCACACTTGACCTTCCTTCAGCAAGATCTTTTAGGTCAGTTTAGGAAGGATTTCCCTACTCTTTAAGTAATTTTTTTTATCCGCTGACACCACCCTTGCTCCTTGGCTATAAATCTCAGCTTTCTCTTTAAAATTTGTGGTTGAGCTCTGGCCATGTGGTATAGATGGTTAGAGCATCAGTTGTTCCTATATGCCAAGGTTGTGGATTGGATCTCCCATCAGGGCACATAAAAGAAGCAACCAATGAATATATAAATACATACAACAACAAATTGACTCCTTTCTTGCTCGAGTGCTCACTCCCTCTAAAATCAATAAATTAAAAAATGTATTTTAATAAATAAAATTTGTAGTTGAATCCAATCTCTCTCCCTTACTGCAAAACCCCATTGTCTTTACACATATCTCAATGATTTCAAGTAAAGCCTGCTTTACAGTTTTAACAAGGGTCTTAATAGACCCTTGTGGTTCTCAACAAAAACGTCTCTCCTGCCTGTGCAATTCAGTGAGCAACACTTTTATCCATTTAATATCTTGGATCTTTAAGTGACATAGCTGGTACAAAAGGACACGGAACACTAAGGCACAAAGGTTAGAGAATCTGTAAGGTCACCTAACTCCAAGGACATAGAAGAGGACAGGGAAGCATGAGCCCATTGAACCCCACATGAACACATTCCTCCATTACCAATCACTTTATAATTTCCCATGGTGCAAAAGTGCTTATGGAACCTACATAGGTCAGTTCCTCCCTTGCTCTGACTCCCACTAACATATTCCCTGGATTGTGGTGACCTTGGGCTCTTATCTTATTCCCCCCTATCTTGGTTCTGAGAACCCCAGAAAACACCCAACCTGTGGGTGCCACATCCACACAGGTTTATATACTGGTGTTACTGTTTCTGACAACCAATATAAACAGGTTAGAGGGTTCCTCCAGCAAGTGGTACCAAAATGTGGAGGTGCTCAGAGATATAACTGAGCTAGGAGTGTTCAGGAAAACACATATCTCCTTTAGTTCAGGTGGGAATAAAGAGCAGAAAGGCAGGAGTCAGGACCGAAATGACTGAGAAGTTGTGGGTCTATTCTGGAGGTAATTGGGGAGGTTTGGAAGAGAAGAGGATGGTGGTCTTAAAAAAGGTCTTACCAGATTCTGCCTGGCTGCATGAGACAAAACGTATTATTTCAAACCCAAATTTACATACATTCACGTTGAAACTCCAAGTGCACCTGCTCTTAGCCAAAATGTATTAACTATTTTCTGCCATTAAAATGCATGGAGTCAGAAGCATTAGTGCATTTTGTAACCTGAATGTTCAATCTGAGCCATGACTTGAAAGATAAGGAGGATTTAAGCTGTCCTAGTTAACCCTTCCTCTGGTTCCCACAGAAAACACCTTTTCTGATTCTATCTTCAGTGATGGTACCAATCCATAGAACAGCATTGTTTATCCATTTAGTATTTCATGCTCAATAGTCTAAGCTATATATTCCTTTAGGAACCTGACATATTTCTCCAGTGGAAAACAACTTTTCAAATTCTGTTTGGATATGGGCTAGTGACTACAGTGTTCTCAGGCATATCACATATGCAAAGGGAATACCTGAAAACCATCTCATCTCATTTTTCAGGGAAGGGATTATCTTTTCTATGGTGATTGCTTGGACTCTTGTTCATGAGTATTGATATACCAGAAAAAGAGTTGTGAAATGCAATTTACAGAAAGCTCTTAATAACAATTATGGAGTTATTAAAAAACAGTGCTAGAAAAAGCTATAAGGAAATATCAGCGGGGGAGGAATGACACTTAAGATCCGGATAATTTTAAGATCTGGATAATTTTATCAAGAGACACTGAAATTTGAGTCAGGCTGATCCCAATCCTGGTATTGTGATTTTTTAAAAATATATTTTATTGATTATACTATCACATTTGTCCCCAATTTCTTCCTTTGCCCCCCTCC